CAACTTTAAAGAGCTTCAAACAAGAAAGAATTTGTGTCTTGTTTTTTCTTTTTTCTTCCTTATATTTTTGATTTATGAAATTTAAAATTCCGAAGAGAGTTTCTGATGACATAAAGCTGCATTTTCTTTTCTTTTTTTTCGTCTTTTTTTTTAACTTGATAAACGAGTAAAATTTAAGTGACTTGGCAACAAAATTTTCATCGAATTCCATCAGGTACTTTTGCCATTTTCTACTTTATAAAATGCAACAGAACTTTGCTGCAGTATCGGCGCAAATGTAAGGAAATATATTCATATAAAAAATACTTTGCTGTATGAAAAGTAATATATAGAATGTATTTTTTTTATAGGATAAAATGAATATTCATATTTCTTTTAAAATGCGTAGATTTGTTTTATTGTTTTATTCCATTAAAAACTCTCTTAATTTTCGGCAATTAAAGCTGATAAAAGTGCTCATTTTCTTATGATTTTAGCCAATATTTCTCGTTTTACAGTTATTTTTTTTTCAATTTAGAATTAGTTCCTTTTAATCTAAGAATCTGAAGATTTCTTCTAATCATTTCAAATAATAATAAAGCGTTTGAACAGGAAAACAATCGAATCTTCACAGTGGTTAACCGACTTTTAGGCCACCCTATAATATACTATTCATTACAACAGAAAAAAAAAGCTCACATTGTTTAATTAAAAACTGATATGAGTAAGAGTAATTATTTTTCTTTTTTTTAAACTCTTTAACAGCGGTTAACTGACTTTTGGTCCACCCCCATTTTAAAGCAAATTTAAAACTTGTTTCTACATCTTCAGCATCATCAATAATTATGATACAAGGAGCAGTTTCTTGTATTAAATATGTATAAATTCAATAATAATTTCGTGTTCTGTTATTTGTCTTATATCTTCAACAATTGAAGGCTCATAAGGGGAGAAGGATCGATAAAATGTTTAAAATTCTGTATGATCTAATTTAAAATGCATGATAAACGTCGCATTAACGACCCGGAGGTATAATAAGAGAGAAACTTTAATCGACGTCACAGATAAATTTATAATTATTTTACATTGTAAACGTAATCATTTATGAATTGAATCAATTTTCTGATTAAATGGCGATTCGAAAAGTTTTTTATTATTTTTTCTTTCTTGAAATTATTGATCTTCGTTAAAAATTTGATTGGAGTCTTTCTTGTATTTTCTACTTTTGTTCAATTTGACTTTTATGTATTTTTCAAGCGGCTTTATTCATGTTTTAAACGTTAATCTTGCAGATTGGCGTTTTAGAACGTGAGCGAGTACACGTTTTCTTTTTTTTTTATTAACGTTTAAAGTACGTTTGTACGTGTTTGTAAGCGTTTATTTAACGCTGTGTCTTTATCTGTATGTATTATAGTATTGTATTGTATTTGTATGTTCCTATACGTGTCTATGTACAGTACAAATAAAAATAGCTTACATACAAGCGCCATACAATATATAGCCTACTATAAGAGGGCATTTATATAATTTTTTTCTTTTCTGTGTGTATGGGGCTTGTATGTAGCCTACACACGAACAGACATACAAGCGCTACACAAAATGAAGAGAATTATATAGGAACATACAAATACAATATAATACTACAAAACATACAGGCATTCAACACGGAGAAAAAACACACGTTAAATAAAGGTGTACAAATATGCACAAACAGGACATATATATTTATATTTTCCCACGTATCTGCTTGTGTATATGTATTGTATACGACTATATAAATAAAGCAGCTTACTATTACTCGATTTTCAATTACGGCTTTACAATAAGTGTAAATTTCCTTCCGTAAATATATGAAATGGCATATTTAAATACCATACGCTTTTCTTGATCATTTCGGTATAGTATTATGTAATTCAAAGTTTTAGATTCTCATAGAACCGAGAATAAATTCCCAATTTATGTCAGAGCCTATGGGAAATTAGGTTTTGATTTATGACCTACTTGCTTAACGACATTTTCCAAAAACCAATTAACTCATAAAAGCGAGAGTCTATCGTAATCTGCACTCGTTCTGTACTGATGTACATTACTGTACAGTCTATACACACGAGTGGATGTAAAGTTTATGAGATATTTTCATAGATCTCCTCATAGTTTTTATACAGCTAAATACGTATTTGCATGTATATAATAAGTTCGCTTCTTACATTCAAATACAAGAAGCACAGGAAGCACAGAAATAAAAAATACATACAGGAAATAAGTACAGGAACAGAAACACATACAGTAAGTAATTACATACAGGAAGCACAGGAAATAAGTACAGAACAGACACAGGAAGTATAAGAACACATAAAGGAAGTAGTAACATATAAATATAATACAACGAATATTTATTTTACATAGACAAATGATCATAGATACATAGATTCATCTTGGGATTAAATCGTTTGTACAGTATAGTATATTTAAAATCGAACATCACCAAGTATAAACGTTCAAAAATTAATTTTTAAAGCATTAGCCTTAATATAAGAAAACGCACGAATATAATACATAAAATGTTAATTTTGTATAAACAGAAATTATTAAAACACGATTACACATTCTAAAAATAAAATTTTAATATCAATTTTTAAAAAATGGCTCATCAACAAGAGCATTCGCCATTACACAAGAGTAAAAGAAGTGCATTAAATTTTCGAAAGATTAATACGTAAGTAATCTATAAAGAAGATTGGCATATTCAAAAATTACACATATTTTTTACAACCGTGGTTTGTCTGGTGCCTGTGACGTAACAGGCGAGTCAACACGACTGCCTTTGACACCTGTAAGCGCTTACAGCAAAGGTTCAACGTCATCCGGTGCTCACTCCGTGTATATAATGCAACTAAGCCAAAATAAACGGCTTAATCGTCACACCTCGTGGATGGTGGGCCTTTGCAGATCGGCTTACACCACGAGGATTATGTCGCAGTCATTAATGGAGAAATGTGCAAGCTATGACAGATAAATATGACGTAGATAATCTGTTTACTTAAGTATTAGTTACTTCACTCGTATCCCCCTTATCTTTCTATCCAGCAACTTCTTAATTGCCCTTATTAGTTTCCTAATGAATTTCTTAATTATAATTGAACTGTTTAAACATTTACAGTTGGATGTTAGATACATATTTAATTATCCTTTTCTTTTAAATTTCTCTGTTGAATATACATATTTTAATGGTAAAGTTTAAAAAAACAGTTGCAAGAAGAAGTGTGAAGAGAATTCATTATTAATGTAAGGTGGGTATTCCAGACGTATGAGACTAAATGAAGAAAGATTGAAGTGCCAAAGGTAAACTCAGACAGGATATAGAAGGAGAAAGAGGAGCAGGAGAAGGTAGTTTTCTAGTATTCATAGAGTAAAAGAAATAAGAGAAATAACGTAATAAAGTAATAGAATAGTATAAAATAGAAGGAAGGGGTAAGTTCAGGAACAATAACAGAATTACAAATAGAGCATCCCGCATCAGATGAGACGTACGATAACGTTTCTTTCAATCTACAAAGATTAATAAATAAACGAATTACGTATGAGGGAATTTTTCCAGAAAATAATGACGACATAATGGGGTAGGCATTTAAAGAAAACACGAGATCAGTTTGATACAGACAAACAAAGAAAGAGAATATCCACAGATACACATCAATAGAGAATAATGACAAACGGAAGGGAATTGTATTGAAGACAATTAATGTTAGAAAATGGAAGTTTAAAAAAAAAACTAAATAAATAAACAAAAAAAATAATAATAATAAAATTATTAATTATTAAAGCTTAAATTTACAGATTAAAAAAAAATATATTCAGAATATGCAAAAAGGAAAAAAAGAATTCCACAAAAGATGCAACTAAACAAAAGAATTCTGAATAATGACAACAATTTAAAGGTTTAAAAATTATCAAAAATTCAACTTGGATTTCTACATAATTGAAGATTTTTCATCATTATTAAAATAATTGCGAATACCTGAGAGATGGAAAAGATCTTCAGACTTCGGTTACCATGGTTACTGCCTCTGTTGTCACCTACAACGATTTTGCCAACACTGTTTCTATAAATAAATTTAAATTGAAATAAATTTCCATCGTTACTTGTATTTCGTGTATGTATCTGCGCGCGTGCTTGTGTGTATACGAAAGTTTGATTTTTATTATTTCTATTTGCAAATAATTATATATTCTACCTTCATTTAGTACAAAAATGTAGAGAAATTAATTCGTATTATATGAATGAAAATTATGTTTTTATGCATAATATTTATTCAATGTGATTTTGAAATAAAGATAACCTCGATATAATGAAATCTTACAGTTATTAAGCTGAATCATTCGCTATATTAGAGGTTCACTATACGCATTAAGAATAGCAAGAGCCAACAAAATTGTTCGTTATATCGAATTATTGAGCTATATCATTCGCTATATTAAGGATTCATTCGTTATATTAGAGGTTTATTCCATATATTAAGGGTTCATTCGATATATTAAGGGTTCATTCACTATATGCATTAAAAATAGCAAGAGCCAACAAAATTGTTCGCTATATTAATGGTCCACTTATAAATAATATAAAAACTTCTTGATACAATTTTTTAGCTGATTATTAATTATATTTTGAATTTTTATACGATTTTTTTAAACAGGTGTAGAAGTATATTAAGATTTATACGAAATTTTTTAATGTTAAATATATTTATTTTAAATAAATTGTGCACTTTCAATAGTGCAAATAGTTCAGGAGAAATTCAATAGTGCAGTTCCTAAGTTGCACTTTTAAAGAATAAAAACTGAATATTTAGGCAATATAAAATACACTTTTAGAAATAAAAATTGCACTTTCAAAGAGTAGAATCTGCGTTTATAGATTAGAGACTGCCCTTTTAGAGATGGAAACTGCACTTTATAGAGTAGAGACTGCCCTTTTAGAGATGGAAACTGCACTTTATTGAGTAGAGACTGCCCTTTTAGAGATGGAAACTGCACTTTATAGAGTAGAGACTGCCCTTTTAGAGATGGAAACTGCACTTTATAGAGTAGAGACTGCCCTTTTAGAGATGGAAACTGCACTTTATAGAGTAGAGACTGCCCTTTTAGAGATGGAAACTGCACTTTATAGAGTAGAGACTGCCCTTTTAGAGATGGAAACTGCACTTTATAGAGTAGAGACTGCCCTTTTAGAGATGGAAACTGCACTTTATAGAGTAGAGACTGCCCTTTTAGAGATGGAAACTGCACTTTATAGAGTAGAGACTGCCCTTTTAGAGATGGAAACTGCACTTTATAGAGTAGAGACTGCCCTTTTAGAGATGGAAACTGCACTTTATAGAGTAGAGACTGCCCTTTTAGAGATGGAAACTGCACTTTATAGAGTAGAGACTGCCCTTTTAGAGATGGAAACTGCACTTTATAGAGTAGAGACTGCCCTTTTAGAGATGGAAACTGCACTTTATAGAGTAGAGACTGCCCTTTTAGAGATGGAAACTGCACTTTATAGAGTAGAGACTGCCCTTTTAGAGATGGAAACTGCACTTTATAGAGTAGAGACTGCCCTTTTAGAGATGGAAACTGCACTTTATAGAGTAGAGACTGCCCTTTTAGAGATGGAAACTGCACTTTATAGAGTAGAGACTGCCCTTTTAGAGATGGAAACTGCACTTTATAGAGTAGAGACTGCCCTTTTAGAGATGGAAACTGCACTTTATAGAGTAGAGACTGCCCTTTTAGAGATGGAAACTGCACTTTATAGAGTAGAGACTGCCCTTTTAGAGATGGAAACTGCACTTTATAGAGTAGAGACTGCCCTTTTAGAGATGGAAACTGCACTTTATAGAGTAGAGACTGCCCTTTTAGAGATGGAAACTGCACTTTATAGAGTAGAGACTGCCCTTTTAGAGATGGAAACTGCACTTTATAGAGTAGAGACTGCCCTTTTAGAGATGGAAACTGCACTTTATAGAGTAGAGACTGCCCTTTTAGAGATGGAAACTGCACTTTATAGAGTAGAGACTGCCCTTTTAGAGATGGAAACTGCACTTTATAGAGTAGAGACTGCCCTTTTAGAGATGGAAACTGCACTTTATAGAGTAGAGACTGCCCTTTTAGAGATGGAAACTGCACTTTATAGAGTAGAGACTGCCCTTTTAGAGATGGAAACTGCACTTTATAGAGTAGAGACTGCCCTTTTAGAGATGGAAACTGCACTTTATAGAGTAGAGACTGCCCTTTTAGAGATGGAAACTGCACTTTATAGAGTAGAGACTGCCCTTTTAGAGATGGAAACTGCACTTTATAGAGTAGAGACTGCCCTTTTAGAGATGGAAACTGCACTTTATAGAGTAGAGACTGCCCTTTTAGAGATGGAAACTGCACTTTATAGAGTAGAGACTGCCCTTTTAGAGATGGAAACTGCACTTTATAGAGTAGAGACTGCCCTTTTAGAGATGGAAACTGCACTTTATAGAGTAGAGACTGCCCTTTTAGAGATGGAAACTGCACTTTATAGAGTAGAGACTGCCCTTTTAGAGATGGAAACTGCACTTTATAGAGTAGAGACTGCCCTTTTAGAGATGGAAACTGCACTTTATAGAGTAGAGACTGCCCTTTTAGAGATGGAAACTGCACTTTATAGAGTAGAGACTGCCCTTTTAGAGATGGAAACTGCACTTTATAGAGTAGAGACTGCCCTTTTAGAGATGGAAACTGCACTTTATAGAGTAGAGACTGCCCTTTTAGAGATGGAAACTGCACTTTATAGAGTAGAGACTGCCCTTTTAGAGATGGAAACTGCACTTTATAGAGTAGAGACTGCCCTTTTAGAGATGGAAACTGCACTTTATAGAGTAGAGACTGCCCTTTTAGAGATGGAAACTGCACTTTATAGAGTAGAGACTGCCCTTTTAGAGATGGAAACTGCACTTTATAGAGTAGAGACTGCCCTTTTAGAGATGGAAACTGCACTTTATAGAGTAGAGACTGCCCTTTTAGAGATGGAAACTGCACTTTATAGAGTAGAGACTGCCCTTTTAGAGATGGAAACTGCACTTTATAGAGTAGAGACTGCCCTTTTAGAGATGGAAACTGCACTTTATAGAGTAGAGACTGCCCTTTTAGAGATGGAAACTGCACTTTATAGAGTAGAGACTGCCCTTTTAGAGATGGAAACTGCACTTTATAGAGTAGAGACTGCCCTTTTAGAGATGGAAACTGCACTTTATAGAGTAGAGACTGCCCTTTTAGAGATGGAAACTGCACTTTATAGAGTAGAGACTGCCCTTTTAGAGATGGAAACTGCACTTTATAGAGTAGAGACTGCCCTTTTAGAGATGGAAACTGCACTTTATAGAGTAGAGACTGCCCTTTTAGAGATGGAAACTGCACTTTATAGAGTAGAGACTGCCCTTTTAGAGATGGAAACTGCACTTTATAGAGTAGAGACTGCCCTTTTAGAGATGGAAACTGCACTTTATAGAGTAGAGACTGCCCTTTTAGAGATGGAAACTGCACTTTATAGAGTAGAGACTGCCCTTTTAGAGATGGAAACTGCACTTTATAGAGTAGAGACTGCCCTTTTAGAGATGGAAACTGCACTTTATAGAGTAGAGACTGCCCTTTTAGAGATGGAAACTGCACTTTATAGAGTAGAGACTGCCCTTTTAGAGATGGAAACTGCACTTTATAGAGTAGAGACTGCCCTTTTAGAGATGGAAACTGCACTTTATAGAGTAGAGACTGCCCTTTTAGAGATGGAAACTGCACTTTATAGAGTAGAGACTGCCCTTTTAGAGATGGAAACTGCACTTTATAGAGTAGAGACTGCCCTTTTAGAGATGGAAACTGCACTTTATAGAGTAGAGACTGCCCTTTTAGAGATGGAAACTGCACTTTATAGAGTAGAGACTGCCCTTTTAGAGATGGAAACTGCACTTTATAGAGTAGAGACTGCCCTTTTAGAGATGGAAACTGCACTTTATAGAGTAGAGACTGCCCTTTTAGAGATGGAAACTGCACTTTATAGAGTAGAGACTGCCCTTTTAGAGATGGAAACTGCACTTTATAGAGTAGAGACTGCCCTTTTAGAGATGGAAACTGCACTTTATAGAGTAGAGACTGCCCTTTTAGAGATGGAAACTGCACTTTATAGAGTAGAGACTGCCCTTTTAGAGATGGAAACTGCACTTTATAGAGTAGAGACTGCCCTTTTAGAGATGGAAACTGCACTTTATAGAGTAGAGACTGCCCTTTTAGAGATGGAAACTGCACTTTATAGAGTAGAGACTGCCCTTTTAGAGATGGAAACTGCACTTTATAGAGTAGAGACTGCCCTTTTAGAGATGGAAACTGCACTTTATAGAGTAGAGACTGCCCTTTTAGAGATGGAAACTGCACTTTATAGAGTAGAGACTGCCCTTTTAGAGATGGAAACTGCACTTTATAGAGTAGAGACTGCCCTTTTAGAGATGGAAACTGCACTTTATAGAGTAGAGACTGCCCTTTTAGAGATGGAAACTGCACTTTATAGAGTAGAGACTGCCCTTTTAGAGATGGAAACTGCACTTTATAGAGTAGAGACTGCCCTTTTAGAGATGGAAACTGCACTTTATAGAGTAGAGACTGCCCTTTTAGAGATGGAAACTGCACTTTATAGAGTAGAGACTGCCCTTTTAGAGATGGAAACTGCACTTTATAGAGTAGAGACTGCCCTTTTAGAGATGGAAACTGCACTTTATAGAGTAGAGACTGCCCTTTTAGAGATGGAAACTGCACTTTATAGAGTAGAGACTGCCCTTTTAGAGATGGAAACTGCACTTTATAGAGTAGAGACTGCCCTTTTAGAGATGGAAACTGCACTTTATAGAGTAGAGACTGCCCTTTTAGAGATGGAAACTGCACTTTATAGAGTAGAGACTGCCCTTTTAGAGATGGAAACTGCACTTTATAGAGTAGAGACTGCCCTTTTNATCAGTTAATTCTTACCAAGCGAACATTTTTGAAATTTTTTCTAAATTAAAGTAAAAAAAAAAATTGAATAAATAATGAAAGTTATTATTAAAGATAATTTTAATGTAATTATATACATATATACAGTTAAACCTGTCTAAAACGGAACCTGGATAAAACGGACACTTACCTAAACGGAAAAACTCTTCGAAACGCAGAGATTTTCCATGTTAAAAACCCTTTTAAAATGGAAACCTGCCAAGCCAAAAACATTATTCGGTAATCTGCGATTCCGGTTTACACAGGTTTCACTGTATATGTATATTATATAAGAAAAAAAAAAAAGCTTTATTTAGTGCACCACTTAATAGGAGGAACACAGAAATTAGCGTAAGACAATGTAAATACTATGTTATATAATTTATATATTATACAGTTAAACCTTTTTAAACCGGAATCGCACGGCACCCGATATATTTGGAGGGTTTCCGCTTTGAACATGTATTTACATAAAAAATAATATACAGTCGACCCCCTTATAACACTGTTGATTATTCCGTTTTATATGAATTCCATGTTGTACGAGTCACTTAGATTTTACAAATACGTGTTCCGAGCTGTGAACGGCTCACGTATTTGTAAAATCTAAATGACTCGTACAACACGGAATTCATATAAAACGGAATAATCAACAGTGTTATAGGAGGTCGACTGTACACTACTATAATAAAAGCTGTCCAAAACGAAACCTGAGCAAACGAAAAACCTGCCAAAACGGAAAAAAAAATGTTCGGTACTGGACCATTCCAGTTTACACAGGTTTTATTGTACGTATTAATTTTTTTACGTACAATTCTATGAGAAAATAACATAATTTTCACTTAATGAAAAATTGAATTTTATGGAAAAATTCCATTTCTAATATTTAAAAATATAATTTTTTTTAAAGTAGAATTTCTTATCGTTTTCGAACAGAAACTAGAATTATTACCTGCAAAGTAGCGAGCAGATTAAGCCGATCCTCCCAAAAATAATTTTTTTAAGGCAGATAAAAATATTTTTCCTAAACCTTAAATACTTTAGGAAATATTTTAAAATATTTACAAAATTATATGCAATTTTGTACAAAGTTTATTATTTAAAAAATCCATCAAATCCGACCGGAAACAATTTTAACCTCTAAATTTATTCTAAATACGTTCTACAGCCCGAGGAGGATTCACACGTTCTTACTTGACACTCGAACCGACAGACAACCAGACGTGAATTCGAAGTAGCTTATATCATTTCCAGGACTATCCTGAATATATGTACAAATTTTCGTACATATCGGTTCAGCCGTTCTTACGTGATACTCGAACAAACGGACAGACATAAAGACGGACGGGAATTCAATTTTATATGTATGTACAGTATAGATTTTAAGATTATTGAAAGAAAAGGACGAGGAAAACAGCGCGAGAAGATGGAAATTTTAGGGAAAATTCAATTAGATGATGATGATGATGATGATGAAGAAGAACGACTGAAATTATCCACGCGTATTTTCTAATTCAATGAAAATGGGTTTAAATCATCGTCTTCATAATTCTAAAATAGAAATTTTGTTTCGATCAAACATCTGTTTCGGACGTTATCGATCATTCACTTAATAAATGACGAATAATACTAACAACAATCATAAAAAATAATAGTTTTTTAGTAGATTTATGCAAATTATTACAGTAGGACCCGAGCAAAACGTATGACTTTAACAGACACTTCACCCAATTGGTGCTTTGTAAGGTGACGTCGAACACGGTTGAGAGATTATTCACAAGTGTTAGAGGGGTACAGACTGAAGAAAAGATGTGGGAGGATGAAGAGGATGAGAGGAAAGAAGATCCTTCTAGATAGGGGGATGATAAAGTATAAAAACTAAGTACATTGTAATTACATAAAGTAACAGCTTCACTATAGGAAAGTATAGTGAAAGGCAATACAAATCCTAATTAGTATTTACAAGCATCATGAAGGATAGAAAATAATAAAGCCACTCGCTTCCTGTGACAAAACAGAAACTAATATACAAGAGGTGCTAACATCCAAGATGATGTAAGAACCATTTCCAACAGTTACTGTAATAATTATAATTGGATGGATTGTTGGGCTGCAATTTTCCAATTGCAAGGCCTATAAATTTCCACAGTCGTCAGTCTGTTCGTCTGTCCTTCGTTAATCTCGAGAATAGAGTTAGATAAATGGAGATTTTCATCCTAGAGAGTTAGAGATCATCCTTCATCGTGGATAGCTTAACTATAAAGGTTTATTTCATATTTTACTCTTCTTAAACTTATAAAGTGTAAGTAAAAGTGTTAATTTTAGATATGAAAAGCTGTATAAAAAAATGTTTAGTATGTTGGAAAGTGTACTAAACTTTATTATAAACAGTAACAGGAAGCATTAAAGAATTATTATAGCAGCACGTTCTTCTTCATTTTCCTATCTGTCAATTATTCAGTGAAAGAAAGTGACGTACCCTAATTAGAATTACATTTTTTAAAAGAAATTCTAAAAATTGCATAAAAATTTATATTAAAAAAATTAAACTTTAATCTATAGAAAAGGTAAAACAAACATTAAAATTAAAATATACCTTTCTAAAAAAATTAATTAATTAGTTCATTCTAATTATTAGATTTATGAAGAAACTTTATATTATTAAAATTAATTAATTTTAATTAATNTGTATATGCATATTACGATTTAATTCATATAAAATTGTTCAAAATAAATATTTCCTCGTCAAAATATATATCTAAACTTCAAACAAAAACTACAAATTCCAAGTAAACATAGCAATATTTCAGAGAAATTGGTAATTTATCAGATGAAGTGATATACTCTACATCAAACAAGTGAATGAGTCAATTTATCCTACGTGTGAAATATATAGAATCTGCACGTAAACATTCAATAAAGTACGATAATTTAATGAGTTATCATTTAAACTAATCCCTTTATATTTATTTTAATTAACGTTTGATGACATTAAAAGATTTCCAATTCTAATTTGTAAATCTGAGAAACGAAATTATAATTCAAACACGTTAAAATTATCAAGTTTTACGCTCAAAAAAGAACTTTAAAAATGGCTCCATTTCTAATAGATTTTTGCAGGTAAAAAATTTTAAAATTTTCCCTAAAAATTCCACTCTAATAATTAGAATTTCGAATTTTTTTAAAAAAGAAAAAAGCTCAGTTTCTACGTTACGTGACTTAAAACATTCGAAGATTTAAAAGTATTTTTTTTTAAAATTATATAGAATAATAAATAAAACGATTAAAATGATAAATTATTCGTTGAGAAATTTATGAAATTTCGATTTATTTATTAAAAATTAAGCAGAAAGGAAGACATTTCTGAATAAACTAATCGACATTTTGACATGTCGGACGTCAAGTTAAGAGAAAAAAAGGTTATTGTCGTAAGCAGAAATGCATTTTATATACTTCAAATTTTTTAAATGCCCCCTCTTTTGTACGTAAACTTAATTATTTTTCAATATTAATGGTTGAAAATTTTGTATGAGATCCTAGAAACAATGTTACAATAGCAGTAATCGTCGTACTAGCGCTTACTCTACGCATAAAGCAAGCGCTAAAGGTTCTCTGCTAGAGCCTATTCTAGACATAGAGTGAGCGCTAAAGGTTATCTAGAGCCTCTTCTAGACATAGAGTGAGCGCTAAGGTTCTCTAGAGCCTATTCTGGACATAGAGTGAGCGCTAAAGGTCTCTAGAGCCTCTTCTAGACATAGAGTAAGCACTAAATGTTCTCTAGAGCCTATTCTACGTATAGAGTGAGCGCTAAAAGTTCTCTAGAGCCTATTCTAGACATACAGTGAGCGCTGAAGGTTCTCTAGAGCCTCTTCTAGACATAGAGTGAGCGCTAAAGGTTCTCTAAAGCCTCTTCTAGACAGAGTGACCGCGAAAGGTTCTTTAGAGCCTATTCTAGACATACAGTGAGCGCTAAAGGTTCTCTAGAGCCTATTCTAGACATAGAGTGGCCGCGAAAGTTTCTTTAGAGCCTATTCTAGACATAGAGTGAGCGCTAAATGTTTTCTAGAGCCTATTCTAGGCATAGAGTGAGCGCTAAATGTTCTCTAGAGCCTATTCTAGACATAGAGTGACCGCGAAAGGTTCTCTAGAGCCTATTCTAGACATAGAGTGACCGCGAAAGGTTCTCTAGAGCCTATTCTAGACATAGAGTGACCGCGAAAGGTTCTCTAGAGCCTATTCTAGACATAGAGTGACCGCGAAAGGTTCTCTAGAGCCTATTCTAGACATAGAGTGACCGCGAAAGGTTCTCTAGAGCCTATTCTAGACATAGAGTGACCGCGAAAGGTTCTCTAGAGCCTATTCTAGACATAGAGTGACCGCGAAAGGTTCTCTAGAGCCTATTCTAGACATAGAGTGACCGCGAAAGGTTCTCTAGAGCCTATTCTAGACATAGAGTGACCGCGAAAGGTTCTCTAGAGCCTATTCTAGACATAGAGTGACCGCGAAAGGTTCTCTAGAGCCTATTCTAGACATAGAGTGACCGCGAAAGGTTCTCTAGAGCCTATTCTAGACATAGAGTGACCGCGAAAGGTTCTCTAGAGCCTATTCTAGACATAGAGTGACCGCGAAAGGTTCTCTAGAGCCTATTCTAGACATAGAGTGACCGCGAAAGGTTCTCTAGAGCCTATTCTAGACATAGAGTGACCGCGAAAGGTTCTCTAGAGCCTATTCTAGACATAGAGTGACCGCGAAAGGTTCTCTAGAGCCTATTCTAGACATAGAGTGACCGCGAAAGGTTCTCTAGAGCCTATTCTAGACATAGAGTGACCGCGAAAGGTTCTCTAGAGCCTATTCTAGACATAGAGTGACCGCGAAAGGTTCTCTAGAGCCTATTCTAGACATAGAGTGACCGCGAAAGGTTCTCTAGAGCCTATTCTAGACATAGAGTGACCGCGAAAGGTTCTCTAGAGCCTATTCTAGACATAGAGTG